CTTTTAAAGTACAATTCGTATGCAGAATATGATTTTTAAAAAATCACATCCTTAATCTTTTTGTAAAAGTTAATCTTGTAAAAAAAAAAGAATTCTTCTGTTTAAAAGGTATGAAGTTAAAACATGGTGGACAACAAATGCCAAGGTGTCTTTCTTCTCTTTTCAAGATATGCCATTTCAGTTGCTCGGAAGATTGGTGCCCGGATATATGCATTACCTGATGACCTAGTAGAAGTAAAACCAAAGATGGTCATGACAGTGTTTGCCTGCCTCATGGGAAAAGGACTGAACAGAATAAAATAATGAAGCATTTACTATCATCTGCCACATTAAACACACCGAATGTCTCAGTTTACAGAATTTTGAATTGTAGTGGCTATAAAATCAGAGTATCTGTATGCTCAAAATAGTTCTGTATTCAGTAATGAATAACATTTTGTCCATACTAGTTAGAATTTCTCAATCTTTTTGATTACTTTAACAATCAATACCAAGACAGGAACATCTTATCAAGCTGCTATTTCAAAATTAAATTATTTTATTTCCTACAAGTCTTACAAAATAAGACTAATCATTCTTTTTCATAGCTCAAAAAAGATCTGTATAAAGTTTTGTCAGGTCCTGCTATTAAATGTGTTTGGATTTTTTGAAGTGTTATTTAATTTTGATCACAAATGTACCTAAAGTCATAGTCCAACTCAATCCTTTTTTTACCTCTGTAAAGGGGTCTAAAACTGTAACCTTGCTGTAAATTTCTATCTCGCATATAAATTTAAAGGGGTAAATATGGCTCACCAACATCAAACTTTTTTAATATGAAAACTAATTCTTGAATAGACCTCAAGGTTCACTCTCTTGCATAAGTTGTAGGAACTTTTTACTTAAAGTTTGATTGTAATTGCATTGCTATTTTACATGTCCTAGTTTGATAATATAGCATTATTTCTGACATGTAGTGCAATACTGCATGTTGGTAAGATGCTACATATATGTTTTTCCCTATAGCATCTGAACTACCCAGATTTTCTCAAATGGTATGTATTAAGCAGTCAGCTAGCCGTTAAGTATTTATTTTGCCCCTAGAAGATGTGTGAGATCTGATATGTGAAGATATCTTTTACAAATATTAATTATGAATGTGTGTATAGTTATTTTTTTCACCTAATTCCTTTCAAATACTTGCAGCCAAACACTGGATAGACCATCCCAACTGACATCGATACTATCCTGTTAGCATCGCATTACACTTGCTAGTTTCATTACTAGTTGTAATGAAGCCGACATAATTAGAATATGTCCACCAAATAACCTCAGTAGAAAGCACATAACAGCTAATGTCCATCATAGTTTCGTGTTTCTCACAGCCCTGCATCACCTGGAAATGTTTAAGGTTTGTGTTCCTTAGGAAGAGTTAAAACTTGAAACCTCTTTCCCCCAGAATTTTTAGCAGTAGAGAAATTCTGTGGCTTATAGTGGAAGCCAGAAATACGCTCCCACCTTCCACGTTAGTGCCAGTGAGCTCTCCTACTGTGAGGCGGAAGTGCTTCGCTTTTCTCTGTGCGAGTGGGTTGTCTACATCTTCCTCCTCCCCTGGTCAAAGCATTTATGTTAAGGGTGAGAGTGTCTGTGTCTTTAGGGTAGACTTTTTTAAATGAAATACTAATAGGTGGAGTTCTTAAATATATTCTTCTACAAGAGATTTCTTTGCCTTTTATATTTTGATGATTGTTTTCTTATATGAAGATGTAAGTAGGCTTTTGCTCTTCTGAGAATATTTAAATCATGCTTCTCTGATTTTTTTTCACCATCATATTTACTAAGATAATCTGATTGACATGGAATTTAGTACTTAAAGGCATTCTTTTTCTCACAAAGTATATTTAATAAAATGCTGTGTATGTAGAATGCGTATTTGTGTATTCATTTTATTTAAAGAAATCTATAGAGCCTTCAATATTGGTCTGTTATAAACTTATTTACCACAAAAGAATACAACACCTAAATGAAGAAATACAAAAACTTACTTCTTTGGAGGTCAGGTTTCTTCTTCTTTCATATAAGAAAAAAAATTAAGGGGCTGGAAAGATGCCTCAATAGTTAAGAGCACCCACTGCTCTCCCAGAGGGCTCTGGTTCAATTCCCAGCACCTACTTGGCAGTTCACAACTGTCTGTAACTCCAGTTCCAGAGGATCTGGCATCTTTACACAGACAGACATGCAGGCAAAACACCAATGCACATAAAACAAAAAATAAATTTTTTAAGAAAGAAAAATTAAAATTCAAAATTGTACTGTTTTTATCATTGTGTGTGTGTGTGTGGATGATGTGTGTTGATGGACATGCATGCATTATACATGTGGAGGCCAGAAGACAGATTTGTGGAGTCTGTTTTCCCTAACACCTTTATGGGAATAAACTCAGGTTTTAACCAGGAGGTGGTGGTGCACACCTTTAATCCCACCCAGCACTTGCGAGGCAGAGGCGGGCAAATCCATAGGCCAACCTGGTCTAAGGAGCAAGTTCCAGGACAACCAGGGCAACACTGAGAAACCCGGTCTTGAAAAATCATCAAAAACAAAAACTAAGGTCTTCAAGTTTTCACAAACAGCACTTTTATTCGCTGAGCCATCTCACCAGCCCTCATATGAAGAATTTTATTAGCGACTACCTACATGACTATTACACATTTAGTTTGTGATGAAATCATTTGAATGAGTAAAATTCAGCAGCACAAATTTATTGTCTCCAGTGTTCAAATACTACATGAGATTCTTGGGATTCAGCTAAGAAAAAAAAAAAAAGACAGTCTTTTGACCTAAATTCTAGTGGTGACAATCAGTCAACAAAGAAATTGTAGTAAATAAAGCAAGAAAGGAGTAGTGATAATGGATGGAAGAAGCAGGAGGATGTGCTACAGTGGGACAGTGGGACTTGGGAGCTGTGCGGAGATTATTTGGGTAGTTAGGCAAGGGCTTTTGTTTTGGGCTGTGCTCAGCAGGGAAACAAATGCAAATAGAGCCTAGCAGGCCCCGTGAGAAAGAAACAGACAGAGGTGGCCCTAGATCAGTACGGGAGGACAACGTTGAAAAATATGTGTAGGATCTACCTTACTTGTAGGGCTAGATATAATTTCCCTTCTCTTGATTTGGGATTTTTTTTATACCTGTGACTTGAGGGAGTGGCTTGAAGTAATATTACTCCTGAGTTTTGCATTCAGTTGTTCATCATAACTCCATTCCTGGTCTGTAGCACGAATTCTAATCGGACTTAATAAATAAAACCTGAGTCAGATATTAGGGGGTGAAAGCTAAGAGATCACAGAAGCAGTGCAGCCAGCCACTAGAGAGACCTTTTACAAAGACTACCAATACTCAGATGGAGGGATGATCGTGTCCTCAGACTGCATTGAGCTCCTGTCTCCTCCCGCCTTATATTCCTCTCTCTGACTAGCCAGATCACTCCTGTCTCCACTACCCAAGCGCCGGAATCACCTTTGTGGGAGCTCTGTTTCTCTTCTAGACAGATTCAATCTCATGTAGCCCAGGGTGGCCTTGAACTAACATAGATCCCAGTGTCTGTCTGCCTCCCTAGTTCTGGGATTAAAGGTGTGCACCATCACTCCCTGGCCTCTAGTGGTTTAGCTCTGCACTCTGATCTTCAGGCGAGCTTTATTTGTTAAAACACAAACAAAATATCACTACACTGGTCTTCATATTTTACATGCAAAATGTGTAAGTGATTTTGAATGATCCAGTTTGTGCTGGTCAAGCAGTTTACTAGAGAATAAGAAAAAAGAAGATAGTCTGTAACTGAGACAATCCAAAAATCTGAAGTGTAACACCAGGTTGCCGGAGGTAGACTCTCATGCTTTAGAAGCTCTCCTAAGATTTCGACCACAGTGGGTTGGAATTCCTCCAAATCTTAGAAGTTAATCCAGGCCCCATGGCAGTTTTTTGGATAGAGAACCTGTGTATAGGGCTGTGAACCATTTGAATTCTTTAACTTCAAACGGTGAAATTTTGGATAGGCCAGGGTTAGAGTTCTGCTACTGACTGAACATTTGTGGATCGATAAAATGTATGCATTTTTGTGTTTCCACTGGACTCACCATGAGTCACTTGGAAATTTCACAAAATACATAAACTTGGAATTGTATTACAGAATAATAGGGAGATTGTCTAGAAACGAAAAACAGAATGACTCTAGAGGCTATTTTAAAGTAAACATAGAGAAAAATGCTTGAGAAGGTGTCTTTGGAATCTCCTTAGGCCTTTTAGAGAACATCTAAAGAGAATGTTGATTTTAAAAATCAGGAAATTAAAATATTGGTTGAGAAAGTAATGGGACAAAGCAACCTGAATGGGAGAGGACATTGACTGTAGGAAGCAATAGGAATTATTGAAAAGATGTAATTTCAAATCACACTTGCTGTGTGTCCATCAGCCTATGCCTAAATAACAAACCTCTTAACATTAGATGTGATAAATGTAACTAATTCACTGACAGGACTGTGTGGAGAGTTAAGTCCTAAACTGTGCATACGCAATGCTTATAGGTCACCTTTGAATTACATGTAAATGCATGTATATAATGACTTTAGACATATCAGGAATGTTAGACCATATTATAATCACAAGAGAAATTATAAACGGCCTTTAGGAACAAGGGTAACGTAAACACAAACTCCAAAATCGGGTTGCTTGGCCAGGCTCTAGGACAATTCCTCAAAAACTCAATGGCACACTGCGGTGTATTTACTTTCTGTGCCGCAGCAGCGACAGCAGCAGCAGCTGCCGCTAATCTGCAACCTAAGAACTGCGACCAGGTGGTTCCCATGCCCCTCTTCGGGTTCCTATAGGTGCTGCAGGGGCGCTAGGCGACTGACGAGGGAGGGGCGTCAGGCCTGGAGCCCCGCCCACCAGTCCCGCCCCGGTAGACCCCGCCCCCTCGAGGCGGGCTTCGCCGCCAGCCCCGCCCCGGTGTCGTCGCCTCCGCGGGGCTGAGGGTGACGTGAGGAGGAGAGAGCGGTGAGCCTCTGCCTCCCGCGGGTGCAGCCGGGCCAACGGTCCCCACAGCCCCGGAGCCTGACGTGCGGCGAAGCGCAGCGCCGAGCTCCTCGGCCGGCGGCCCCCTCACTCCCTCCCAGGCCGGGCCGCCCCCTGCGCGGCCCCCGCGGCTCCTGGCACGGCCCCGCGCACCGCTGCCGCCCTGGCGCGCTCCACTCTGTCGTCCCCGGACGGGCGCGGACCAGCTCGACCGGGGCGTCGGCGGCTGGGCAGAGGGCGCTGGCCCCGGGGTCGCGCCGGTGCGGCCACCAACCTGGGGCTGTCCGTGGAGGGCGAGTGCTGGTTCCGGGGCGAGGCGACGCCCTTCGGGGTCAACGGGCCGCAGGCAGATGTGGCCCTGGGAACGACTCACCCGTTTTCCAGCTCTGGGGCGGGGCTGGGGTCGGGGTCGGCGCCCATGGGGGCCCAACCTCCGTCTCCTGGCCTACCCCCGTCGTGGGCCGCGATGATGGCGGCCCTGTACCCGAGCACGGACCTCTCGGGAGTCTCCTCCTCCTCCCTGCCTTCCTCCCCATCCTCCTCGTCGCCCAACGAAGTGATGGCGCTGAAGGATGTGCGGGAGGTGAAGGAGGAGAACACCCTGAATGAGAAGCTTTTCTTGCTGGCGTGCGACAAGGGTGAGAGCTAGGCCCCTTTCCCCGCCTCTGGACACCCTAAGACTCACTCCCTGGGTCCTGCCCGTGCCGCCTCAACTTACTCCCGGCACTCCCGCTTTTTCTTGCGCCCAGCGGCTAGTCCCTACCTGTGAGACCCGCAGGACTTCTGCCTGGTTGAGCAGGAGCCAGCAGGCAGGAAGGACGGGGGCGGTGGACTCCTGCAGGTGGGATGTCTGGTGGCTAGTTGGGTGCCCTGATCCCAAAGTTGCCCCACTGCTGCCACGGACAATCTCCAGGTTGGAGTCCTATCTTTGGGAGCCAGAGGCTAGTTTTGGACCTTCTAAGTCGAAAATTCTGTTTATTTCTCTTACGATTTCTCCAATTCATGGGCTGTCACCTTACAATTTTGTTTTGTTTTTTAATCTAAAGACTTCTGTTTAGCATCAGCTGCCAGTGCCTGCTGCAGTTGAGTGGAACTAGGTATTCCATTATCCTAAGCAGAAATAATATGAAATCAGGACGAGACAGGAAAAATCCGGCCCTTACTGTTTTTGAATCTAGAAACTGATCACTTTATGGGCACATGAAGAGATAGGCATGCTTTCGAGTGATGCGTTGTAATGCAGGAGTGGGAACTTGATTGCTCTCAGACTACATTTGGCTGTTAACTGGAAAAAAAAAGTCCTAAAACATTGTTATGCCTCAATTCAGCAGTGTGTTGTGCAAAGGCTGTGTTCGTTTAGGAAAACCTTGTTAGAACCATTCAGACTTCCCAATTTTAGAGGCCACCTTACACTGTGGGAAAGTTAGTTACAGAAGTTTTTTTTGTTTACATATGTTTGCTCAAGTCAACAACAGTCTCCCAAGCCTTTTAAATCTTTTGAAATAGTTTTTCATTCTTTATACAACTACACTTGATCTTAGCAAGGCAAAAAGCAATTATTTATGCTTTTTTGAAAGCACATTGACATGTAAACAAAGTCCCCTTATATCTGTTGCCAACTCACTTTTATGTTTTACGGGTAATATTAAATAAATAAGCATTTTCTTAAAGTCTACCATAGGCATCTTTGACTACTCTTAGAAATATAAAGAAATACAAAATGTATGTCTGTAATGTCACAAAATTGTGATCTGTAGATTATATAAATTACTTAATTTTTCCCCAAGTGCTTTGCCTGAGTTGTTTCCCTCAAAAATAATCTAAAAGGAGAAAGGCAATGATGGTGTTGTACTACAGCAGTCAAGAATCACTGCTTTTATTCTAGTGAACTGTGTGATTATTTAACGTATGTTAGGAAAGGAAATTTGATATTCTTGTCAAACTGAGAACAGAAAAGTGTTGTAATGGAATATGATTGGAGCAGGTACTTTTGTGATAAATATATTTAGAATGGTTGCGTGAGAGTTCTCAAAAGGAGTTTTAATTATAAAAGTTTTATAAACTGCCCATAGTACTAGTTGAAACAATTTGAGATATCTATATCTGTCTATCTATCTATGGAAACTGGCATCTAATACATACATATATATTTATAACATCATTAAAAGCCTTGGAGATATGCAGAAGTAGAACAGGGGTTAATGTGCTATGGTGAAGAAACTGCATATTTCTTGCATAAAGTTTTAATTTGCATTTATTTTAAAAACGAGTTGAAGTTAGAGGAACACGTATTTTTGTTTTTGTTCATAATCACTAATATTATTAAAACATTTTAACGTCCAAATCAAATATAAAAAAGTAGAAAAATTCTTGAACTAGCTCTAACTCCCACTTTTACAGTGAAATCTCCATTAGCCCAAATGGCAAACGTTTACTAAAGTAGGGTGGAGTGGAGTGCTCATGCGTTTTGTAGACCATTTCATCTAATGCTCAGAGGGACCGGGGATATAGCTCAGCGGTAAAGCACTTGCCTAACATAAACAAGGCCCTAGGTTCAATCACCAAAACTGCTACTTTAATATATATATATAACATATATATATAATATATATATATGCATATTCCATGTAATTGAATCCTCACAACTCCATGTATCGGATCTGTTGTTTGTATATGTATATATACATATATGTATGTATATATATGTCAAGCCACTAGTATGTTTTATTAATCTGATTATAGTTGAAGATTTTAAAATAATTTATGTTAGAAAAGACATCCATATGTGCATGTACTAGTTGGAAATTAACTCTTATCTGTATGGATAGTTTATAAACTTTGTTTTTTGTGTAAATGTAAAAAACAAGCATGAGATCCTTAATAGGGTCAGAAAAATCAACTAGTTACATTTAACAATCCTTTCTACATGAATGAACTGTTTGTAGTATAGTCTTCTAGAACTAGCTCTTGTAGACCAGGCTGGCCTCGAACTCCCAGAGATCCGCCTGCCTCTTCCTCCCGAGTGCTGGGATTAAAGGTGTGCGCCACCACCCCCCCGGCAAGGCTAGAGATTCTTAAAAGAAAATTTGCAACAGTGTGGTGGTTGTATGTATTTTCGTGGATGAATGGCGGTTTAAAATAAACAGTGTACAGAGTAAGGAGTAAACAAAAATAGGGAAGAGAGAGATTTTATGGTTTGGAATAACCAGCTTTTATGTAAATTAGTTCAGTCAATCTATGCAATTGCGTATCTAAGTATTAATCAATTAGTAATGGTTCTTGCGGATCATCAAAATAGATCAGAATCATCTCAAAGCTAACTCTTGGTCCTTTTTTGTATTAAAAATAATAAGGAAAATTGGATTGAAATTTTCTGTACTATTGATGTACAGCAGAGTTTTATATAAACCTATCAAATTTATGTAAACCTGCCAAGTTCTTTTTTTAGCACCAATTTACATCTTCACCTGTGTTCTATGAGATGTATTCTTGCCAGTATTCAATATGAGAGTGCTTCTAAGCTTCACCAATGTCTATATTGAAGAAGGCTAATTTTTATTGTTTTTATTGAACTACACATTTTTCTCTGCTTCCCTCCCTTCCTCCCCCTCTCCACCTACCCTCTTTTGTGACCCCCAAACTCCCAATTTACTCAAAAGATCTTTTCTTTTTCTCCTTCCTATGTAGATCCATGTATGTCTCTCTTAGGGTCCTCTTTGTTGTCTAGGTTGTCTGGGGTTGTGGACTGTAGGTTGGGTTTTTTTTTTATGTCTAGTAGCCACTTATGAGTGAGTACATATTATATTTGTCTTTCTGGGTCTGGGTTTCCTTACTCAATATGTTTTTTTTTCTATATCCGTCCATTTGCATACAAATTTCAAGATGTCATTTTTTACCACTGAGTAGTAGTACTCCATTGTGCAAATCTACCACATTTTCTTTATCCATTCTTTGGTTGAGGGACATCTAGATTGTTTCCAGGTTCTGGCTATTACAAATAATGCTGTTATGAACATAGTTGAGCACATGTCCTTGTGGTATGACTGGGCATCCTCTGGGTATGTACCCAACAGTGGTATTGCTGGATCTTGAGGTATATCGTACAGCTACTTTGGAAATGAGTATGGCGTTTTCTCAGAAAATTAGGAAACAATCTACCTCAAGACCCAAATAAAATTCTTACAAAGTATATATGTGAATTTTTTGTAGACAGAGAGGCTTTAATTTAAGCTAACTGAACAAGAGCTGCCAATAAATGTTTTGTATCATTGATGTTAAGTAGACCACCTTGTTTTTCTTATTGAGAGTTAGTGTGGTAATTAGCCTGTTTGTTTGTGGGAGCCTCTGATCTAAGGCCTCTTGCCTGCTGAAAGGGTAAGTAAAGTTTTAGGAAGCACCTAAACTTAAGTATGTCTTTATTTTTTCTCATTTAAAGTGTTAAGTAGATGATGCTTTAAAGCATATGTGTGAATGTAAGCCTTTTGTTTGTTGATATCATTAATTAGTGCTTATGCCGAGTAGGGAAGAATGAATATTTACTCTCTGCCAGTGCTGCATGTGGAGTACTAGCAGAAGATTTGTATTTTCATTAGCAGTCCCTTCTGAACATTTCACTGTGGAGTTAGAGAAGGTAGGGGGGAGGGCAGAATTTCACCTCTACCCCTGGAATCATCCTAGTTTGTGTTCCATCACCGTTGTGTTAGGCTTGCTATGTTATAAGGAAGGATACTTTAAGTTTCTATAGAAGCTCTGTGTACCTTGGGGCTCAGGAAGCTTTCAAAATGCGCAGCATTTCCTTGAGAATCGTGCCACTGTTGTTAATACTTACTTAAGATGTTTATATGTACTTTCTGTTTTGGAAGAGATTTGAAGGGTGTAAGGTTAGAGAGGAGAGTGGTTTGTATCATTTAAATGCAGATTCCTGAGTATTGCGGAGTTTTGTGTTGTTAGGCAGCACCTAATATGTACACTGGGACTGGTGAGATGGCCCAACTGTTAAGAGCTCTTCTAGAGGTTCTTTTTTTTTTTTTTTTTTTTTTTTTGGTTTTTCAAGACAGGGTTTCTCTGTAGCTTTGGAGCCTGTCCTGGAACTAGCTCTTGTAGACCAGGTTGGTCTCGAACTCACAGAGATCCGTCTGCCTCTGCCTCCCAAGTGCTGGGATTAAAGGCGTGTGCCACCACCGCCCGGCTTCTTCTAGAGGTTCTGAGTTCAATTCCCAGTAACCACACAACCATCTTTAATGAGATCTGGTGCCCTCTTGTGGCCTGAAGGCAGACATGCAGGTAGAATAATGTATACATAATAAATAAAAATCTTTTTTTTTAAAAAAATGATATGTACAATGAGGAAAATAATTTGCAGAAAGGAGGGATGATAAGAGTATAATTAGCATCAGGAATATTGGGGTTGTTACAAGCATTCTAAATAGCTCGTGAAGTATCACTAGTTACAGATCATATGCATTCTGTACAGGGAATCTTCGTAAATCAACAAAGCTGTGGAATGTACTAGTTGAGAAGTGTAGCCATAGGGAGTGGTTCTCAGTGACTTTAATGATCGGTGCCTGAGCAGCTAGCTGCCTTACTGGCCTGTGTAGTGATCTCATGGTGCGTTTCTTTTTCCTATTTTTAATTTTCTGCTCTTTGCCATGCTATCAAAATATATACATGAAGTTCTTAATTGTGTTAAGGAATTGGACAAAAAGCTGTTATTAGTGAGTTACTGACTACATCAATATTCTTTAGGAGTTTTTCTATTATAAAGATGTTTTCTTGTGCAGAAGTAAGGAACAGTAGGGTAAAAAGATGTTATAATTGTGTATATAATAGATCTCTCTGAGCAAATGTTCAGTTTATCTTAAATGGCCCATATGACATTTGGAAGATAGGCTATTCCTAGTACAGAGCATTCTCTCCTGGGAAGTTGAAAACAAACTATCCAAGTGAAACCTCAGTGTATTATGAGGCTGAAAGATTAAATTTGAATGCTCTGTTGTAATCGGAGATTCTCTTGCCCCATTAGAGTATTATAAATGTCTTCTTCAGACTAATTCCATCAAAGTTAATGATGTTAAGTCTAAGACTAGGAATAATAGTTTAATATAGGTAATGAAAAATCCAAATACTATTTAGAAGCAATAAATGATAACATTAAAATCCAGAGTGAATGATTAGGACTAAAAGATTCCAGTACCATATCAATTATTTATGAATTCAGTAGAATTTCTTTGGGTTCCAAAGCTTTTTCCTCTTAGTCTGTTTTAAATATTAATTGGGATTTTTTTTTCTTTTGAGACAGAATTTCTCTGTGTAGCCCTGGCTGCTCTGAAACTTGCTCTTGTAGACCAGACTGGCCTCAAATTCAGAGATCTTGCCTTTGCCTCCTTCTGCTGAGATTAAAGTCATGTACCACCACTGCCTGCCTTAATTAGGAATATTTTAAGTAAAATGTTATAATTTCAGGTCCAAAGGTTTTTGTAGAAAGTTTGGTTTGAAAAGATTTGTAAATTTTTGACACAAAGTTTCCCACACTTTACAACTAGCTTCAAGTTCTGTTTGGTTAATATAAAGTTTAAAAACTGGCCAACGTTTTTGGTGGAGTTGGGGGAGCTGGGATTTTTTTAGACAGAATCTTAGTCTCTAGTCCAGTTTGTCCTGGAATTTGCTGTGTAAGTAGCCTAGGCTGGCCTCAGCTTGCAACAGTCCTACTTCTGTCTCTCAGGTTCTGCAGTTATAGGCGCGAGCCCCCACTTGTGATAAAACTGACCAGCGTTAATGCTGTCATCAGTAATGATGAAATTTATCTTCATATGTTGGAAAGTCAGATGAGAAGCCAGTGAGAAAATAGAGAATCATCTTTATAAATAATATTGTACATTTCTCTACTCTACATCTCTCAACATTTATAAGAGTTGAGCAGAGTAAATTTATTGTTGAGGGTCTATGGGATCACCTTGAAATTTTTTATACTATTTATTTGAATGCCCAGTTTCCAGTGGGCTTCCTAGAATTCAGTAAACACCGTGTCCGTTGAGAATGTTAAAAAAAATCATAAGATTGATATGCTTTGAATTTTACAGAATGGACTGACAAGGTAGGGCTAGACCATGGGTGACCAACTGATTCATAAGCCAAGTCCAACTCTTTTTCTAAAGTCTGTGAGTTCAGACTGGCCTTTACATTTTATATTTCAGTTACTTAAAAATATTTCTAATTAAAAGAATGGTATTTTTGAAACATAAGAATTCTGTAAAATTCAAAAAGCTGTATTGGGGCACATCCTCAGTTGTATTGTGTGGTCTGTGCCTGCTTTGGTGCAGACTCGACTGGGTAATTGTGACTGAGTTGTCATGTCCACAAAACATAGCATATTTTATTGCCTGGCCCCTTTTCAGAACAATTTTGTTGACCCTCTGTGTCAAAATGTAAAGCATTGTATGAGTAATAATACAGAAAAGAGCCCATTGTGAACTGAATCCAAGTTCATTTTGTACAGAGGCAGTTAGTTTAAAGGGTTAGAGAGGAGTGAGTGGGGGTTCCATAGAGTTAGGGAATGGAAAAATTATGAAACAGCAGGGGAAAATGTACAAAAAGTGGATGGTTTTGAAAAAGTGGGTGGATTTATGAGAAACCAGTGTGGATTTGTTACCTGGCACTAAAGGTGGTTAGATGGCTGTCTTTTCATGTGGACCAGGAAATGGGTTCTATCTTCAATGTTCAAATGAACCAGCAGCCATGACTTTCCTCAGGTGTGTATTTGCAGAGGATCATGCTAGTGATGCATTGTGGAGCATCGTAGGCTAAAGGAAATGTTTTGGCCAAGTCTTATGGGCTATGGAAGCTTCATATGGGAAAAAAGGGACCATTAGCTTGCTTAGGATTTAGTCCAAGAGAAAATCTCCAGTGGTTCTATCAGTTAGGAGGTTGTTTCACTGTCCAAAAGGATTGATAATAGTTTGGATGAGGTTAGCTGTGTTCACAGGGACAGGTGAATGAGTGTGGGAGGTGCTTAGAGGTCTCACTGAGATGATTTGCTGTTGCATTGGTGCACCACCTATGGAGTAGACTGAAAAATACTTTGTTTTCTTTGTTGAACAAAGACAACTAGGGACTGGAGGTGACAGATAAAGTGTGCCTGCTCTGACATGAAGACTGAGTTTGGATCTCCAGCAGAGTGTATTGATATTAAGTCTGTAACCAAGAGCAAGCCTATCCCTGGAGCTTGGTGGTAGCCAGTCTAAGCCAGTCAGTGAACTCTGAGCTCAGGGAGAGATCCTGTCTGGGGCTGAGGGTGGGGATAGAGAGCAGTAGAGGAAGATACTCAACCCTCTAGCTTCCACATTCAATACACACACACACACACACACACACACACACACACACACACACACCAGACACACAATTAAAAATAAATTTTAAAAAAGCTAACTATAACAGGGCAGAAAACCCTGACTGCTCTTTGGACTGGAGAGGGAGGGGGAAAGGAGTGGGGGGAGGGGGAGAAGGGTGGGAGGAGGGGGCGTAGGGGGGGAGGAGGGGGAGGGAAATGGGAGGCTGGGAGGAGGTGGAAACTTGTTTTTTTTTTTCTCCTTTTCTCAATAAAAAAAAAAAGCTAACTATACCATCAAAAAAGTAAGCAAATTATATTGCTTTTCCCAAGGCAAGAGATATGACTTGAAACACCTTCACTATGAAAGGAAAACGTCATCTGGTATAGCAGGCATTTTGAGCATCTGGGCAGTAAGCCTGCTTCTTGTCTTGTTAAGTTTTCTAACCTCTTTTCACATATGCATCCATCCTCAAACTTAATAACTCTTCTAGTCTTTATGGCATATCACTTGGAGATATACACTTTAGTAGCTAGAGTGACGTTTAAGAAGTGGTGGCTGAAAATATTGCAAGATTAATGAAGCGCAATGACCTTAGATGTGAAAAGTCTATTGAGTTCCAAGAAGGTGAATTTAAATGAGTGACCTCACCTAGATATACCAGAATAGCAAAGCGGAGGTTTATGGGTAGCGTTTTCTTAACCCTAGGCTTAAAAGCTGATTTGTCTGAAATAGTTTTAAATGTTATTTTTTGGCAATAGTGATGTCATTTGGCACAGCTCAAGACTAAGAACATTGCTTCTTCAGTGGAATTAAAATGTTAATTAGTGCTATGGGGAAATTATTTCATGACTAGTTTTTTATTTTTGAGACCTAAGGAGATGTGTTATTAAGAAAACTATTATTCCATTTCTTTTTAAAACATAAGCAAGTATTTAAAATATTAGGAAGTCTGACATTTTCACAAATAAAATCTGTTACCTTAGCTGCAGTATTGTTTTTCTTATTCATTTAGTCTAATGTTTTCTCTCTGTGTACCATGAAAGTATTTCTTTTCTCTTTCCAGTTTCCACTCTGATTATTCTTTCCCTGTTTCTTACTCACAGACATCTAAGGAATAACTATGTAAAATCGTTTATCCATTTTGTATTTAAAAAGTAAAATGAAACAAATATCCCCTTGCTTTCTTTTCTCTAATGAACATTTCCCTTTGGATTTTTATTTCTCTTTTTTCCTGCACAGTCTCAGCAGGCAAATAAACTGCGCCTTTGGTGACAGTAATTCCCATTGTCCTCATATGGACTGACCGTTCTGTGGTCACCTCAGTCAGGGAGAAGATAGCTTTTCTGCTGCTGATAGGCCAAGCAGTCATTCTAGCCCCAACTTGGTGTTTTGTGAGCTGGATGGTCCCTGTTTATTAACACTACACTTCACCTTCCTTAACAAGATGGGATGTGCACGCGCATGCGCGCGCACGTGTGTGTGTGTGTGTGTGTGTGTGTGTGTGTGTGTGTGTGAAAGAGAGAGAGAGAGAGAGAGAGAGAGAGAGAGAGAAGGGAGGAAGGAGTAAGAATTTAGGTGCCCTGTCTATAGATACTGTCAAATTCATGCTACTTTTTAAATGTATGCTTTCCCCCTCTTTCTAATATTCTCTCTCCTGTTCTCCATTTTAACCAATATGATGCATGAGTAAATGTGTGTATGAGATCCAAAACTAATTCCTTCTAAGTTTCATTTTATTTTTCTATAAGAGCTGTCTGACTGTATTTTGGGTTATTCTTTATGAAATTATCCTACATATCTTCTATAAGTTTTTCTCCTTATAACACCGGGTAAAGAATTTTAAGTAAGAAATTTTTATAACATGATACACATTTATTTTTTTCTGCTAGTGTTTTATATTTGCTGCTTATATGTGTATTATTTTATCAAGATATACTTTTTTTCCAGGAAATGTTCACATTTTCTGTGCGCATGTCCACATGCAAAGCAAAATTGAGTTTAGGTATTTTTAATCTTTTAATTCAGCAGGATAAAAATTTTCTTATACTCATTCTTGTTTAATGTCTTAAATATTAAAGTATGTTTGTATATTGTTATTTAGGTGACTATTATATGGTTAAAAAGATTTTGGAGGAAAACAGTTCAGGTGACTTGAACATAAATTGCGTAGATGTGCTTGGGAGAAATGCTGTTACCATAACTATTGAAAACGAAAGCTTGGATATACTGCAGCTGCTTTTGGACTACGGTTGTCAGGTACAAGGCTAGATGATTTTATCCAGTAGCGTCTAAGAAATGTTAGCTATGCCTGCTTTCCTCTTTCCTCCTAGCTTACTTTCTTCTTCTTTCCTTTGTTTACTCTCTCTTCCTTTGCCTTCCACCTTCTATTTGTTTTTAAGCCACTAAAGAATTTACAAAACAATCCCAAATAAGCTATTTAAAAATGTAATATTTTAAATTTATTTGTGTTTTTCTTCCTGTTTCCTTTCCCTACATCAGACAAAAGTAAACAATCATGAATTATTAAAGATGACATTATTTTTATTACTGATAGGATAACTATTTGTATTAATACTAAAAATAGTGCAAGTGTTATAGAAGTGCCAGGGGACAGGGTTTTCTGTGGCCCGTGTTATTTATAGACACATGAACAAAATGTTCCTCACAAAACAACTTACAGTTTGATTTGGTTTCTCCGGTTTTATTATGTTTTCTCTTTGTTTGAAATGTAGAGTTTGCTTTCATCTAAAGATGAATGATAGAACCTGCCCTTTGTCTTCATGTCCCTTAAGGTAGCACAGGCTGCGTGCACACTTGAAGGACAAGTTAATGGCATCATGTCCTCTCCCTGCGGGTCGCTCATGGTGAACATAGCACAGAGCTCTGGCTCCTCTGCTGCAGCTGTAATGAGGCGTGGCGTTTGGACTGACATCAGGAAACGCAGCGATTGCTCTTAGTGTGATAGGCAGGTTTAGCTATATCCCTATGATTTATATCATAATGTGAACTTGTGAGTGACTTATATGTATATGTCTATATTTAAGTATACAAACACACACTCTTGGGGTAGAAAGGGAAATTGGGTACCTAGCCACTTTAGCTACCACCTAGAGTACAACAAGAAACTAAGTGAGAAGGGCCTCTGAGCTGCCGTTGTCATTTCCATGAGGTTTCTGGATTTCGTTCAGGTGTAGAACACTTCTCCTTTCTCCTTCACAGCCTGCTTTTTCTCATTTTAACAAACTTAAAATTTTAGATTTCTGATCTGAAGAGGATCAAGAAAGGCCATAAAAGGGAGCATAGAGCTGTAACTGAGCAAAATGAAGCATGGGACCACTCACATTGTTTAATTCGAGATTTTTAGCACTGAGTGTCTGCCTGGTGGTTAAACTTTATAACTGGTTTAGCATCATTAAGGAAAAGTTAAATTATATTCACTACCTAAAACCTTAGATGAAAGAACACATATATTTATGTATGTATATATGTATATGTATCCTTTAAAAGCAGAAAACTTTCATCAAAATTATTTAAAATTTAAATTTAAACACTTAAAGGCATAAGCTTCAGTTACCTAGAAAATAAAGTTATAAAGAAATGCAGAAGCTTCTCAGTTTTAGTAGGTCCCATTTATTCAATGTTGCCCTTAATGTCTGTGCTGCTGGGTATAAAGAAATTCAGTCCTTGATTATTTTGAATAAGAAATGTTATAATAACTGCATTTACACATATGGTTTTATATACATACTAATTCTCCAGTAACATGATTCTTTCACACTCTTGATTATATTTGAACATCACAATCAGACTATCTAGTTGCTGTATCTTAGAGATAATGAAACTGAGGCTCACAGACTTTAATGGATTGCCCAGAGTTGTAAAATTAGTAAAGGCAAGCTAATACTTGAATTTAATCTTTTGGCTGCAAACCCCATACTCTTTCCAGTTCTCTGTATTCTGTCCAAGTAACCTGTGCCTCATTCTGTCAGCCAGCAAATGTCCAAGACCTTAGCTGGGTGTGATGGTGGAAATGAATACGGAAAATATGACTTATTCACCAGTGGTATTAAAATGAATTGACAGCTAAAGCACCTCTGGATTACAAGGGAATTTAAATGTAAGACTGTATTTAATAAGTGCTGAGTGGTAAGAATGCTTGATGCTTGTATATTGTGTTACAGTTACAAAATACTTCTTGTTTTATCTTGAGTTACAACAGTGGTCCTCAAAAAAAAAAACAACTTTGTCTGTACCAAAGAATATTTGGCAATATCTGGAGATATAACAGTTGATGGACAGATTACTATTGGTATCTAGTGGGTAGATGCTGTAGATGTTACTAAACACACAGGAAAGGTACTGCAATAACACCAAAACCCATATGGTTTTGACCCACTTATTGACCCAAATGTCAATAGAGCTGCTTTTGAGAAGCCCTATTTTATACTTAAACTTTTTGCAATTCAAACATAAATATTTTAGCAATATAATAAGACCATTATGATTTGGAGCTATCAAGAAAACTAGGTTTCTGTCTAACATGTGTAAGTCTCTGTCTTTGATCCCTAGTGCTGAAGAGGTGGAGGGGACTTTTTTTTTTTTTTAATGTGTTGAAACTGGAGAGATGATTAAATGGTAAAGAGTACTTGCTGCTCTTGCAGAAGACTCCAGTTCTGTTCTTAGTACCTACATCATATAACTCATAACTCCAGCTGCAGGAGGCACTGACACCTTTGGCTTCCACAGGCACCTGCATTCACATGCAAATATTGCTCACCATTCATATAATTAAAATGTGTCTTGTTTGTTTACTTTGAGAAAGGATTTTTCTGTGTAGCCCTGGCTGTCCTGGCTTCCTGCCTCTGCCTCCCAAGTGCTGGGATTAAAAGCATGCACCACCACCACCCAGCCTAAAAATATATCTTTTAAAAGTTTTAAGAAAGATTTCACTGAAGAGTATCTATTGAGCTCGGCCTTGAAATATTAATATTCGGCCAGAGAGATGGCTCAGTGATTAGGAGCACCTGTTGCTCTTGCAGAGGACCTTGGTTCAATTCCTGACATCCACATGATGACTCACAACCATCTGTGTGCAACTTTAGTTCCAGGGGACCCAACACCTCTTTCTGGCCTTTTCAGGCACAAGACACACTTGTGGTGCATAGACATATGTGCAGACAAAACACTCATACACATAAAATAAAATAAAATTTAAAAATCAAAAAAAGAAAAAATATTATCGTTGCTAAGATTTATATTGCCCTGCTTTGTGCCGGTGGACTTGTCTTCCTGATCTTCAGAAAGATTAAGTAACTTGCCTGGATTTACTTTGTAAATGGCAAACTTGGGGTCTGCACTTAGGTTCTGGTTCTCGAGTCCATGTTCTTCCTGTTATCCAAGTCTATTCAAGAACTTAGAAGTAGTTAAGGGACAGGGGATGCAGGAAAGAATGTAAGGCAGATATATGAGGTGTGTTTTCTGAGACAGTGAATTCACAGCCTTTAGAATAAAGCACTGGGCTTGTGATGTAATGGAAATACTCAGGAAAAATAACTAAAACACAACTGGTGAAAAAGGCCTTGAATGGGAGGATCTGTGTTTTATATAATAGATAGTTAGGTATCATTCAATACATTTTGATAGAAAATATGGTATGTGTCTTGTGTTATTTTAGATAGATGAATATGGTGTTCAAGTTTAGGCAAGACTGGGAAGGAAGGGAAGGTTATAGCCCATGTGGGCAGTTTTTGTAATAATTCAGGTATGAATATTAAGGGCTGAACTGAAGACTGTCTATAAGACCGACAGTGGCTGTGTAAGAAGAGGGGAGGGGCTGGGTTGTAGCTTCTGGTAAAACCCTTGTCTTGCACGCCTGAGGCCCTGTGTGTGTGTGGAGTAAGAGGAGATACAAAAGCTGTCAAGAAAGGGAATTGAGTCCTAGGGTTTTATCAATCTTAAATATGAGTGACTAGGAGAGAGGGGCGAATACTAGCAAGCTCGGAGGAGAGGTTAGATGTAAGTAAAGCAATATAATTTCCAGGTTTTAGCTTTACTTATTTGGGGGTTGTCTGATAATGACCAAGATACTCTAGGCATCATAAGCAAGAAGATGACCCTATATATCTTCACAAGGGCAGAAATCACAGAGCATAGAGCTAGTACAAGTTTTTTTTTCCTTAGGGAGTTTTTATATTTAATAAAGGGCACTGGTAGGAAAGAGTTACATTTTAAAAGATCAAATGAATTATTTGCAATTTTTGGTTCATTTAGAATGGTGGTGTGAAAACCAAAGGGGAATTTTAGTTTAATTTCTGCTTAAAAAGAAGTAAAGGCACAAGAGGAGAGAGAAAAAGTCATTGGATTTTGAAATTATGGTGCTGAAATATTTAGGGAACATGATATACCTTAATTTGAGAATTTTAACCATGAAATAAAAAAGAAAACATTTAGTGACAATAGAAAGATAAGATCAAGTAAAGTCAACAAAGGTAGAACAATTTCAAGTTGTGGAATGTGGGACTAATATTCCTCTGGATGAAGGACTAAGTTCTTATAGAATATTCCAGAGCATTAATATATACTATAAGTGGAAATCAGGTATAGAAACGAAATATAAGTATCTTCTCACACTGAGGGTAGAAGGATCAGAAGTTGTTGGACAAGTTCTGAGGTGAGAAGGAAAGAGTGGCTTCAAATATAGTAAGTTTATGTACTGAATATATTTTAGTGGGGATGGTCAGTTTGCTTAGAAATTGGGAAATAAAAATAAGTGAGGGTGTTTTGTATGCTTGCAAGTATTTAAGAATACTTTAACCTGAGCATGGTGGCACACACCTGTGATCCCAGTGCTTTGGAGGCCGGGGCGAGAGGAACACAAGCTCAAGGCCAGTCTGGTTTTAAGACTGTGTCTCAAATAAATTTATTTTTTTAAATTAAAGTATTTTCCTTCAGAACTGTCATTTATTTATCAAGTAACATACTATTTGTATAGAATGAGTCAATGGCCACTCTTTAATTACGTTTTTAATATAAGTACTTTTCATAGCTGAAGCTTATCCTTTTAAGCATTGAATATTAGCATACCTCTTTACCCTTTACTGAGTAGTGTGCCTGAATATAATTTAACTTTGCCATCATTAGTTGGAGTTGAGAATGTAATCATTTTACTTTGCTTCATGAGGTCCAAAATTATTTTTTAATTGTTTTTATTGAGCTATACATTTTTCTCTACTCCCCTCCCTTCTTCCCTTCTCCCCTTCTGCCCTTACCTGTAGAGGTCTAAAAAATTATTAATAATTTGTCCTAGCATTTAAGTCTGCAGACTTTTGTGTTCTGACAGTGATTTTGTTCTACTGGTATTTTATTCTTTTTGTCGTCAACTTTTAGGTTTTTTTTCTATTCCCCATTTTTGTTGGTTTTATTCTAGCTGTTCTTTTATTCAGTAAAGATCTGAGGAATGCTTAGGAAAGCCACTGCCCTTTACTTATGGACAAGTCTTAAGTCAAAGTGGTTAGGTCTGTCTCTTTCAGGAAATAATGTCTATGATGTTACTCTGTGACTTGGGTTGTTGTTAGTTTTTTGGTTTTTTTTTTTTGGTGATGTTTTGAGTTGTAAATAATTCATGACTATATTTTAGATTATTGGAATTGCATGGTGTTTGAGAGCAGTGGCATTACTATAGTTAGCTTTATTGATTAAATTTAAAACTGTAGATACTATATCTAGTAATAATGGATACTGGGTCCTTGCTTTTAAAAGTTTGTTTGCTTCAACTGATTTAATATGCTAAAACTGAAGGGAAGCATGAACTGAAAAAAGAAAAAAAAAGTCCTTGCACTTTTTAGGACCATATCTAATGAACACTAACATTTTCAAGGGATTAAATTTCTCATCTAGCAAGGAAATTTTTAGCAAGGAAAACATTAGCGATTCCTAGAGTTTAAAAAGCATTCCAGCCCCTATTTTGGGTTGTCAAATACTATTTTTAAACATCCCACTAAAGCTTGCCATTTTTAGTCTTATTTTTGACATTCAAATAAGGACAGTGAAAACTTTATTTTATGCAGCTATAAAGAATGCTACAGATCTGCTATAGTTTCATTCCTGGGGCAAGAATGCTGACATTATGGCATTATCTAAGATTAAATCATCATTCATTACCTCATTTTTCCTTCTGTTATTATGGTTTTTCTTAAAAAAGACAAAAAGCAAGGGATCCAAAACTTGGTGTCATGGTTGCCAGTAGCACGTTGGCTTTGTTAGAAGGGAGTGTAGAGCCCCTGAGTCCTGAGTCTAATATTAGGTTCACCTCTGCTCAGAAGTAGGTCTCCACAGTAGGCTGGGACTGGAACTGTAAACTCTTTCATGACTCTGACAACTTTGGTAACTGAACTCTTTGTGGTTTCTACTTGATGAGTGCTGACAATCTCAAGTTGTACCATTTCTATCGGCAGTGTATGTTTTGAAGATGAGAATAGAGGGCTTTTGTATGTCTTCGTATTCTCCCCTCTTCTCAGAATTACACTGATGATGTTATCCAACATATTTCTTTACTTAATAGTTTCTGGTAATTTCTTTAATAAATTTAGAATTCTAGGAAATTTTTGGTCCATGGTTCAAGATAAAACATCTTGAAGGTTTTTTTGCTTTTGTTTTTGTTTTTAGCTTTAAACATTGCATGGATTAGCACTGTTCCATACATATGAAATAATCATTATTTTATCAGGTTGTGCATTGAAATCAGAACAAAAATGGTACACTGTGGTACATAGAAGTACTACTGATTGGAAAGCAAATGTACTATGTAGACAATATAAATTTTTTAAAATCCAATATTGCTGTATATAATACAGTGTAAAGAATTTAAAAATAACCATGAATTAGTTAAAGTACTTTTAGATTTTTATCTTCCATTTTCATTTTAACTTTCATTTTTTTAAAGTCCGCAGATGCACTTTTGGTGGCCATCGACTCTGAAGTAGTGGGAGCTGTCGATATACTACTTAATCATCGACCAAAACGATCACCAAGACCAACTATAGTAGTCAGTACTCTTAAATACTTATTAATCTGGATTTTTAAGCCAAAGTAGATCTCCTGCCCCATTGCCATCTTTTCTCCCCCTCCCCAGTTTATTTTGTTTTTAAAAGTATTGATATTTTTACTTTGTAAAATATTACTTTGAAGTAAGTAGAGACAATTAATTTTGCTTTCTGGAAACCTTTTTAAAATTAGTTAATATTATGTCAGTGTGAACCAGTATTTCGTTGAAAATACAGATTAGTTTCTAGGTAGATTTAAGATGTACAAGTGATGAAACCATAAAAAAGGAAGACAAAGTAGATAGTATTTAGGTAGCTGGTGTGGAAGAACTGTTTTAGCTTAAAAACAGCAGGTGAGAATTGCAGTGGCACACATTCTCATTGTTACAGAAGTTACGTCTCAATTTCGGGCATTGGGCAAATATAGAACTATGGATACTGGGAAACAGGCTTCCAGGAAGTGTCTCAAATTAATAATAGATCTGGGCCTGGCAGCAAACACTTAATGCCAGCACTCGGGAGGCAGAGTAAGGAGGATCTCTGTGTTTGAGGCCAGGCTGGTCTATATAGCAAGTTTCCAGGCCAGCTAGGGCTACATAGAGAAACCCTATCTTAATGAATAAATACTTACATACATACATACATAAATATTATTATTAGTAGTAGTAGTATTAGTAGTAGTAGTAATAGAAAAAAGTGATAGAAAGCACCAAACTCTATTAGAAAAGAACATTTAGAAATTTTCATAAAATAAAACATAAAATTTTAAAGTATAATTGCTAATCAAGCAAGTTACTGAATTTTGCTTATTTTTGACCAAATTAAGAAAAGTGGCCATGGTTGTGTATTATTGCAGAATCAGGTGTTTTGGAAAATATTTTACAAGGTATATCATAAACAAGAAAGATACTTGTATTCTTTAGCCTAGTGCTGTCTCCTCTGTTGTAGGAGAGAGAGGGCCTGCTTTTCATCCCACCCAGCTAGCTTACACCTGAAATAATCACACAGAAACTGTATTCATTTAAACACTGCCTGGCCCTTTATCTCTAGCCTCTTATTGGCTAACTCTCACATATTAGTTTAACCCCTCTCCATTAATATGTATCGCCACTTGACTGTGGCTTACCGGCATGAGTCTAACCAGCGTCCATCTTGGGCAAGAGAACCATGGCGTCTGCCACTCTGCCCTTCTTCCCAGAATTCTGTTCTGTCTTCCCTGCCTACCTGATTTCCGTTCTATCAACTAGGCCAAGGCAGTTTCTTTAATGACCAATGAAAGCAACACAAATACAGAAGGACCTCCTACACCACTCCTCTAGAAATCTGAGAAGGAAAATAAGCAAATCATTGATTTTTATTTTATGTGTAGCAGTTTGAACACTGTTTGGCATATCCTAAATGTCCAAAAGGTATCTCAGTGGTAGAGCACTTACCTAGCATGACCTTGATTACCTTCCTAGTACATGAGGGGAATAAAAGATAAGTATTCTAAAAGACAAGACAGGAAATATAAATAGTTTTCTATATAAACTTTGGAATATAAGACAATAATTAAAATGACTTTAAAATATTTTGAGTTAGACTTTAATGTATCCCAGATTGCCCTAAACTCCCTAAATAACCAAGGATAATCTTGAACTCCTGAACCTCCTACCCTACCTAAATCCCTATCATTAAAGTGCTGGGGTTATAAGTGTTAGCCACCACACCCAGCTAAAGATAATAATCTTAAATTAAGTTTTAGGAAAAAAAATATTAAATGAGATAAAATGAGGACACTGAACTATACTTATAATTAACTGATGGTTAAAAGTATACATAGAAAAGGGACTGGAGAGATTCTCGATGGTTCAGAGCACTTGCTATTATTGCAGAAGACCTGGGTTCCATTCCCAGCACCCACATGGTAGCTCACAACTATCTAGAACTCCAATTCTAGGGTACCTATCACCTTCATCTGGCTTCTGGGTATTGCATGGACATTGTTCCCAGACAAATATACTTCTGAAATAATCATACACATAAAATAAATAATATTTTTAAATCCTTAAAAATGTACACAGAAAAAAGCTATATAAATATAACCAAATGCCACTTTATAGTAGTCATTTCTTATTGATTGGCCTAATTCGGGATTTTAAAAAAATATTTTATTGGTTTTCTCAGTAGCAAGATAGTCATTTATGATGTTACTTTAAAATGATATATTTTTGTACATTGAATTTAAAAAGTTTTAACATTTATTATTGTTGAAGGTATATTAATCAGTTAATCTTTTTAAATAGTTTCTGGGATTATCATCTAACTGTAATCAGAATAAAAATATTTTTAAGAACTAAACAAATTTTACCTTCATTTCGACCACTAAAAAAAACCAAACCTGATGTTATAAATAGTATAAGGTGTTTGTCTATCATGCAACCTTTAGCAACACACATAGACACACACACACATACAATTTAAAAACTAGTAACAACATGCCAGGTGGCGGCACATGCCTTTAAGTCCAGCACTCGGGAGGCAGATGCAGGTGATCTCTGTGAGATCAAAGCTAGCCTGGTCTACTGAGCAAGTTCCAGCATAGGTCCCAAAACTACAGAGAAACCCTGTCTCGAAAAACAAACAAACAAACAAACAAACAAAAATCTAGCAACATCAACAACAAAGTGTGACTCTCCTAGAATACTCTTTAGTTCAGATGTTGGGAAGAAACCAATAAGAAGGATGTAAAAGGGGGTAGCTTAAAAGGAGGTCCTTTCACTAACAGACCAAAGACAGTAATTCCAGTCAGTGTCTGCCATTCATCCTGCAGTTTCTGCTATATTTATATATTCCTGCTCACCTTCTAGCCTGGGAACACATTTCTGTCTTTGGAGCAGGTGGAGTGCTATTTGCCATTAGAACAGTGGCGAGTATTAGTTTATCACCACTGTTCTCAGCAGTTGAAAGCCTTGGCAGTCCCCAGCTGGTCGGTGAAGAAAGCATTTGCTGCTCTGTCTCTGACAAGGTCATTTATTCAGTCTTTATCTGAATACTTACAACAGCTCTAAAATCACCTTTTAACAACTTTTTTGTTTCTAATCAGACACAAATATTTTAATATATTTTTCTTTTACTACTTCAGTGAATTCATCCTATAGCCTTGACGTGTTGAATTGTCTTTTCACTATTAACTCTAAAATATGGGCTATTTACTTGAAAATATGTAGGTCATACTATCAGCAGTGAAATTATAAACTTTAATCTTTTAACGTCTCATAGTGGTTTTCCAGGCATAAAATGCTTCATAGGAAACACAGGACCTCTTTTCAGTTAGGACTTTAAGCCTGGGAGTAAATATAACTCTTTTCAACCAATACAATGAGAAAAAAGTGCCAATTTTAGGCTTTTATGTAACTGTTACATAAATTCATGAATATGAATCTCCAAAAAATAATTGAAAAGTATAGGAACAAACTTTGTAAAAGAAAAAAGCATATCAGAAAATATCAAAACTTATCAGTATTTAAAAGAAAATAAATTAAAATTTTATTGCTTTTCACCCATGTTAATAGTGTCAGTCCCCTTTTCTGTGAGTGAAACAATAGTATGAAATGGATGCATCCCTATATTGAGACTATAAAGCATTGAAAAGACTTTCACATTATATATCAAGAACTTCTAATTTTTCCTGGCCTTTTGACCTATACTTCTATTTTTGGGGGAGGATCTATGCCAATGAGGTAGTCCTAAATTTCTAAAAGGCTATTTTCGTAGCAGTTTGCTGTAATGTCATTTACATTGCAGAGTATCTTGAACACAGAGTCTGTGAGTTTCCTTAAACTGCATGCAAATTTCTGTGCATGATTTTGTCCCTTGAAGATCCTGGGCTCTAGAGCAATGAGATTATTTTTTTTCTTTTGATCTTTGAAGTATTAAGAACTATTGCTTTTATCAAAAACTATTGTCTTTATCACTCGTGCTTAGCACACTAGGATTTATTCAAAGTGTATCCTTCAGAGGGGGTGAAGTTAAGAAAGGACTAGAAGGAAATATTGTACTATAAAATGTTATTTGAGTAGAAGGAATATGGGTATTTTTATTCTTCTTTCTGCTTTTCTGTATTTTTCAGATATTTTATAATGAGTGTACACTACTTTTACAGTGTTAATAAAAGTTACCAAAATGTGAACTTGATGAGCTTACCCTGGACTCAAACAGCTCTCAGGGAAACCTCTGCAAAAAAGTGAGAAGCATTGGAAAGAATATGCAATAGTCATAAAATAATCAACCTTTTTCTTTAATCTTGATTCTTGAATTACTAATGTTTTTTGTTTTTTGTTTCTTTTTCTCATTTCATACCATTGTAGGTGAAAGGGTTGTTGTAGTGGGAGGAGCTCAGGGTCCCGAGTGACACAGACCTGGATGTGATTGGCACCTGTGCTAGTTATGGTTCAGGCACATTAACTTCTCTGAGCCTCAGTTTCTTCATGGTTACTAATTAAACTCAGCCTAATAGTTCACCGTGGGGATGAAATGGGAGGATAAATGACTAACAGTTGCAGTTCTCATTAGTTATTGACTGTGATTGTAGTTATCTTGCGCATTTGTGACAGGTTGTAGACTATGCAGGGTTTGGATTGTATAAAAAAAAGTAGCTTCACTATTATCTGTAGGACAAGGCTGGCCACACAGGTAGAAATTTTAGTTTTTCTCATGCATTTATACTATTGCTGTTTTTAACATTCTATTTTTCCATTTTATTCTTTTCCTAAAATTCTCGTTCTTTCTCCTTATCATGCATGTGCCTATTAGGTTTTTTAAAAAAATTAATACTTTTTCTTAAAGTATTTCTTTAGATACCCTTGCTTCTTTAGGAAAATGGAACTGTACTTTAGGAATGTTGCCTATTTAAGATTATGTTATATTATATAGCATTTGTTAATTAGAATTGAAATTTTAAAATTTCAAAAAATGAGTTGAAGTAAAATGTATTATTCTTAAAACAATTCTAAAGTTCCTTATAGATTTTTTTATTCCATCCTTTAGATAAGTATATTTTTATGTCACAGATAATAACCTTTGGACATTTGTATGAATATTTTTCAGAAACTTATGGAACGAATTCAGAATCCTGAATATTCAACAACGATGGATGTTGCCCCTGTCATTTTAGCTGCTCATCGTAACAACTATGAAATCCTTACCATGCTTTTAAAACAGGACGTGTCTTTGCCCAAGCCCCATGCAGTTGGCTGTGAATGCACGCTGTGTTCTGCAAAAAACAAAAAGGACAGCCTCAGACATTCCAGGTTAGAAAATGAGGGTTCAATAAGTGATGTACCAAGGTACATGTCAATGATGATTATTTAAAAAAATATTCTCTCAGTGCAATTTCTGAGAAATGTGCTTGGGAGCCTTAGGAAGTCAGATTTCTAGCGCCTTTGCTTATCAGGTGAATTCTGAAATTTTCAGAAATGTTTACCAAATGCTAAATAGGAAAATCCTTCAAGTTGTATATGAAGTTTATCTCATACTCTTTCTGGTGAAGCTTTTTAGAGGCATAGTTTATTAGTTCAAGAGTAGTTTCAGGTAGCAAGAATAGAAGGGCACCACTTGCTACCTTATAAAGAAAACAAAACTACTACTATATCATCATCTTCTTTACCACCACCATGATGATGATCATCATCATGTTAGCTTTTTGAGACAGTCTTGCCATATAGCACTGGCTAGTGGAACTCATCTTGTAGACTGTAAAGCTGGCCTTTAAGTTGCCTCTTAGCTTCTTGAGTACTTGTGGTATTTCTGGTAGTTGTCTTCTACCAGAAATAGTGGTGCACACCTACTATTTCTGGTAGAAGACAACTTTAAAACATTTATTTAAATATTTTTAGTTTATGTATATAAGTGTTTTGCATGCATATATATTTGTATACCACATGTTTACAGTGAAGGCCAGGTCTTCTGGAACTTGAGGTACAGTCACTTGTATAGGGAGCCTGGGAAACACTGAGTGAGTGAACTCCTGAATAAATGTGTATTGTTGACATGAGGATAGCCATGTTGAGAACTTCAATGGCTTCACCCTCCAGGGTGGTAAAGCCTTACCCAGGTGAGGCTCAAGAGGGGTGACACATATCTCCTTAGGTGCCCAGGTATGAGTGTTTATGAAAGATTTTTTAGCACAGTTTGTGAGTGTGCAAAGACTAGTAACTTCAACTTCCTTCTCCCAGATGTTTGTAGCCTGAGACAGCTGCCTACAGAGATCTCCAACTGAGAATAGCTAATCCCTCCATCTGTGCTATACATATTAATGTGCTGAGAGGTTCCAGAGGTAGCAAAACCCCACCTGATCCCAGATTTTCTCTCTCTCTCTCTCTCTCTCTCTCTCTCTCTCTCTCTCTCTCTCTCTCTGTGTGTGTATCTGTGTAGTTTGTCCTTTCCTCATTCCTTCTTCCTTCTCACACTTAGTTAGGGCTCCAGAACCCAAGCTTCACAGGTCGTGTTATACTTGTTTCCCATTGTGTGGATGCCAGGAACTGAACCTAGGTTCTGTGCAGAACAAGAATTGGTCTTAACCACTGAAATATCTTTCCAGTCCACAGACTTAATTTCTCACTAAATATTTTAGCTATTCATGCCTCTTGTTTTCCCTCTTAGACCATATTTATCTTTACTTCTTTACTATTTATCATCTTTTCCCATCTCCCAGTTGAAATGTTAAGATCAAGAAAGCACCTGCCTTCTATAGGTCTCACAAGATCATCCCATGGACAGTTTTATTACTGTGGTGGTCAGCTGATTGAGAAGTCAATCTGAAAAGAATAAGCCTTTTCTCTGCTTTAATATGGTTTTGATTCTCATGTGGCCGTGTTGTGATATGGCCAGTCTTAGACATGGTAGCACACATCTATAACCTCATTACCTAGAGTACTGAGGCAGGAGAATCATAAATTTGAGGCCAGCAGAGGGTATTTAGAGAAGTAAAATTGCTTGGTCTTAGGTATTATTATACATAGTATCAAAAGATGTTTGTATTGTAATGAAGCAACCTCTTTGGTCCTTGATTTCCTTGTCTGTAAAATAGACCTAAGTATTTAATAAATATTTACATAATAAATACTAACTAGAAAAAGTGTGATGTTCAGTTTTTATTGGATGTACATAACTTTTAGCACTTGCAAAGTAGGAAAGCTTAGAAATAGTTGTAAGTTGAACCTTCCAAGTTGAGGAGCATCAGTGTAGTGATGCACCTCTTGATGGCATCAACATGGGTAAGGAGGGATATTATATTTTCTCTTACTGTAAACAGGTGAAGCTTTCATATCCTGATCACACAGTCCCAAATAATTACAAACTGATTGGCTGTTCAGGCTTATTACTAACTAGCACTTAACATTTAAATTTACTAATTTCTATTAATTTATGTATTGTCCTATGGTGTGACTTTTACTGGTCACTGGCATTTTGTTCCTTATGTGACTGCTTGTGTCTCTCTCAACTTTGCCCTTCCTCATCTGAGTCCTCAGTTTGATTGTTCTGCCCAACCTTATCCTGCCTGGCTATTGGTCAAACAGCTTTTATTATTAGCCAATGGAAACAATACATATTTTTAGTGTACAGAAGCATTCCATAGCATTTCCCCTTTTCTATCAAAAAGAAAGATTTTAATATAGTAAAATTACATATAACAAAATAATTATTAAGTAAGAATTATAATATCTAGTCTGTATTTGACAAAAGTAGAAAAAATATTCTATTATCTATCTTGGTGAGTCTAAAGTTTTATATATAATTTATCTTTTTATCATAACTAAGAAAATCTATAATTATAACTGTCTAGCCTTCAACTCCATCAAAGACCTGAGTAGGAAGTAATATTACTTGAGTAAGCAGGAAGTGCAAGTGACTTCCAAAAATGTAGGAAGTGACAGAAGCATCTGGCTGCCTGAACAGTCACCCAAGTTTTCTCTGTAATGTTGGGGCATCTAACTTTGGCCTACAGGCCTAGCATATCTGACAGACTTTCCTATGAAGCAGGGAACTTTGAAGGACTGACTTACCTTCCCTTGGCAAAACTTGGCAGTCACCTTTCTTAGTGTCCTGCTGGTCCATTTTGAACAGTAACTGTCAGCAATTGAGACAAGGACATTTCTTTGCCCTCATGGCTAGCTTTTCCCACAAAGAGAACAAACTCCACACAGAGTTTATTTGATGCCCACCATCTTCTCTGGAGTACATTGTTGCTGCCAGGAGTAGATGTGTCTCACTGTCATGAAAAGTCTAAGTTATTAAGACATTTTAAATGCCATATTCTGCAGGTCTTTGAAATGTTTGAAGAATATCTGTCTGAAATATATCTCTGTATGACTATAGGTTCGACTGTTATAGATGAATAACACTATTTTTGTAAATCCGCATTTCTTAATTATGTACTGCATTTTTAATTAAGCTGTATAAACACAATATCTTAAGCAAGAGTAGAAGTATACCTACAGTATAACAAAATTAAGCTTAAATTTATATCAATAACTAAAATCTATACCAATGTAAAATATTTTGAGATTAGTGTTTGTTTTTTGGATTATAGTAGATTCAATAATCTATCTTTTTCTCCATCATTTCTATATCATATCCCCCTTTCTTCTTTTAGAAAGAGATTAACTATGACCAATAACAATTTTTTTTTTTTGGTTTTTCGAGACAGGGTTTCTCTGTGGTTTTGGAGCCTGTCCTGGAACTAGCTCTTGTAGACCAGGCTGGTCTCGAACTCACAGAGATCTGCCTGCCTCTGCCTCCTGAGTGCTGGGATTAAAGGCGTGCGCCACCACCGCCCGGCAACCAATAACAATTTATAACCAACCCCTCCTTAAATGAAAACAAACATTCATAAGCAATATTTTGAGAATTTGGGCATATTTCTCTAGACAACTTCCTACTGATTGCTGGATGTTGGTAATTTTTGAGGAACCCTGAGGAAATAGAGAATTATGGTTGCATCTTGCCTGTAGTAGTCTGTGAGACTGCATCTTCTCAGCCAGTTACCTTGAAGCTGTTCTGGATGTTGGATTACCTAGGTTATTGCTCCCATCAGAGACCTTCCTAGATCTAACCATATTAGCCTGGAAGGAATCCACAGCTTCTCATCTTCTGTGGAAACAAAAGCAGAACCTCTTTTCCAAAGCAACATATCCTTTAACCCAAATTTTGAAGTTAAGATATCTTTAAAATATAAAATTTGTGATTTAAAATATATAGGTTGGTTTAACTTAGCAGTCCCCACAATCAAATGTCTCTAAGTAGTTAGCTCATTAACAACCAAAAAATCCAAAGAAAACACAATAATATACATAATCCAGACTCTATGTATTTTGCATCTTTACATAACTTAATTATATATTTTTTAAATTTCCCTATTACTTTAAGGGATTTATTATTTTTAAGTCTTTTTTTTTTAAAAAATCTGTGACTGTTTATACCCTTTATCCTCTCTCTCTCTCAAGCCTATGTACATTTGAAACATACTGTGACCCATTTAGAGGCTTTTTTTTTTTTGACTGAATCTGTCTTTATTGTGTTTTTCTGACCTTTTTTAATTATATGAGTAAAGTGACCTGGCACTCACAGCTCAAGTTCAAATAGCTCAGTTAGTAGAGCATGAGACTTTTAATTGCATGGTCATCTATTCAAGCCCCACATTGGGTGCCAGATAAAGAGGAATGGATCTCTGGGATTAAGTCAGATTTGTTAAACAGGTGCAGAATATAAAGTACACTCATAATACAGAATGAGGCTCTAACACTGCTGATGTTTTAGCTGCTGATCCTCATTCCCAAAGGCAATTGGGGAGTTACAGGAAGGTCACCAAGCTGCTGCTGCCAGTGACCCCTCTACAATCTAAGAGAGCACCTGACCCTCACCCTCCATTTTTACCCAGTCATGTATTCCCAGAAAAGACCATGCCCATATTGTCTGACAGACCAAATTCCCACAGCATCTTAGTATATGACTTGTCCACTCATTCTCTTGACCTGTGAATTATTTTTAAATGTGTTGTGTTTTATATACATTTATACAAAGGATTCCCAGATTTCTTTCTATTAGTAACTTCTCCCTTAATTCTGAAGGATTGAGAGTATAATTCTTTTCTAATATAGTATTAAGTAACAAACTAAGTTCACTCTTTTAAAATGTAAAATTCCGATAATGTAAATGTAAAATTTAGGCTATGTGGTGGTTTGAAAGAAAATGGCTTCCAGGTGGTGGTGGCACACACCTTTAATCCCAGCACTTGGGAGGCAGAGGCAGG